TGACATCAACGGTTTGAGAATATGTAAGAAGTTTTGTGCAAGTATGTCAAGTATACAACCTTATACGCTGCAAAGGAACCTTAGTTGTTGATACTGAATGATTACTGAATGCCTTGCTTAATCAAAAAATTGTTGATCTCTCGAAGATAGAACGAGTGTGATGACATCAACGGTTTGAGAATATATATCTGTAGCGATAATGACATAATCATAATGAATGAACATGACAGAGTCACGATAAAACGAGAATACAACAAAATATTCTTTGTGTTGAGTCTTAGATGAATTTCGAAGACAAAATTCTTTTAAGGGAGGAAGAAATGTAACGCCCCAAAATATGGTCTAAAAGTTATTCTCTAATAAAAGTAGTTTAGAAACAATATTTTGACCCAACAAAACATTATTTCTACGTTTGACCAAAAACAAAGGACTTTTTGGAGTCAATGATTTTGTTAAGATTGACTTTTATGGATATGTCTCGAAAAGACGAATCCAACGGTATATTTTATGAATAAATCTGATGTACTGATTTTCAATTATGACATTTTAAATATGTAATTTGCATAAAAATGAGAAATGGTTAAAGATGTGAACTTTTGTAAAATGAATTATTGATAATAAATCTTTTAAATTGAATAATACTAGTATTTTGACCCGTGCGACGCACGGGGTCGAACAAAATTTTTATTGGTTCTAAAACTTTTTTAATGCAATATTATTTCCCAGAATAAAGAAAATATATTTCCCTATGATTTTAACACTATATACAAAAATTCCAAAGTAGAATAAACAATATTTGAGTAATTGAATGTGTATTCAACCAAGTTTTTTTTAATACCAAACTTTTTGAAAGACTGTAGGGTGTATAATTTTTTTGATATAGTTGCAAGGGTATCATTGGCATCTAAAACCAATATTTTTAATTATGTTTTTGTCTTCACTCATGGAACCATAATATAAAGCTGACCATGAGTGAATACCAACTTGGTTAAAAGTAATGCAAGAAATGACAATGTTTGACTTTGACTTTTGTTGATAGTTATTGCAAAATATAAGACTATTGAGATTTGCCTTATAAATAACTTCAAGAGTAGTCCTAGATCAGATGGTATCAATTTCATTTGGAGTATGTAAACTTTTTGCTGACTCAATTTCTCAAAACCACAATAGACCAACAACATTCTTTCACAGCTCTTCAAGGATTAATCGTGTACCATTACATAATCCATATATTTGGTCAATGTTTCTCAATATCAAAATCGTTAACCCATTTTTAAGATTATTTTGTAGTTTTCGATCCCCGAACATTTGATTTCATTTAAAATTTAATTGTTACTTAATTGTCATCAATAATTACCATACATGTGAATCGGCCTGACATGAAGAATCAAAACTCAGGCACACCATTTTTTATTTGGGAATGAGGGATATGACAAATTTATTTACCATTTCTACAACCTCAAGCATGGTCCAGTAGTGCCATATCCTAAAAAATGAATAAATTTTCATACTCTCCAATAGGTTCAATTAGGATAAGTGAAGTCCACTATACTCTTCACAAAATAACTTGTGTCTAGAATTAATAATTTATGCGGAATTTTAAGGTCAGTTGTTTCATCAATCACTTGTCTAAGTTTTTCATCTCTAACTTTAATTATCCAATCAGAAAAAATTTGTGTCCCTGAGATAGAGGACGTAGAAGAATGTAATATCATATTTTTCGCTAACATATAAATTTTAAAATACGACCATAATTTTAAAGAATATATGATAGCACTCTCAATTTTCTCTCTTGAAGTTTTGGGTAAAACAGAAAGAGTTTGCCAAAAATCACCTCTAAGTACAACTATTTTCCCTTCGAGTCCTACTTTTTCCCCTCTGAATTCAACTATTTTCCCTCCAAATGGTTCATTTCTAGAGTTTTTGTTAGAGAAATTCATTACATCTCTCATTTTGTGATCCAGCACCTTAAAAATAAATCTATTCATCATATATGCTCCATCCCATATTATTAGACTTACTTGTTGGATTAGTTCTGCTTTCGGACTCTCTTGTTTGATGGCACACGTCATGCAATCGCCCAAAGAGATTGAGAATCTCAAGTGTAATGTCATTCACCCATGTCCTTCCCCCAAGAAAAAGTAATGTTGCAATACCATTGGATGTGACATTCAAGACAATCTTATCATTTGACATTAGAGAAATAAACACTGATTTCCATAAAAAAATATTTTTTTAGTTCCACTGTAACCATACATAACAAAGAAACCTCCTCTTTAAGGTGTCACAACTTCCATTATCTCATCGTATATATTGTGCTGATATTCGTTCATCGTATATAAGTATCTCATAAGATAATATGCAAACTTTTCTTTTTCACTTTTATAATGCAAAATCATTCAAGCCTTTGATAGTATTCTCGTCAATATACAAAATGTTTTATGAAAATACAAATAATTATAAATTTGAAATTATATTTCTCTTTGATGTGGTTGTAACTTGTAACTTAGTCTCGATCTTATTAGTCTTCATTCGGATTTAATATTTTCATTTGACTTTTCTTGGTCAAACTTTGTATACTTTAACCTTGTTATATAGAAAAAAGGAATCTCTTCATGTTTAGTAGCTAAATAATAAATTTTGGATTTCCGATCAACAAAATTGGAAATCTGTTCTCGTAAGCTCCGCAAAGAATATGGAAAATAATATAATTCACCAAAAAATAATGATGCTCGTGTCGAAAGAAATTTAATTCGTGAATAAATTATATCGGTATATCGGGATAAATTTCTATGACCACTGAGGTATTTACTGAAAATTCGTGAATATACCTGAGTGAATATACACTGAAAATTCGTGAATATACACTGAAAATTCGTGAATATACCTTTGGTGAAAGACTTTGGTGAATAAATTCGTGAATAGATGCATACAATTACCTCTATGCAATGGTTTTCAATGAATCAGCTTGATTCATGCACGGGGTCGAAAGAAATTTATGTCGATTCTAAATTATTTCAATGAAATTCTTTTTTCAGAATAAAGAAAATATATTGCTTACATGATTTTTAATACTTCAAATGAAAAAGGCCAAAGTAAAATAAATAATATTTGACGTAGAGAATGTAGAATTAACAATGTTTATTTTAATACCAAATTTTCTAGAAAGACTCGAGTGGATAAAATATTTTTGGTATGGTTGCAAAGGTTTCCATTGTCATCTAGAACTAATATTTTTAATCTTGTCTTTGTCTTCACTCGTGAAACAACAACATATAGTTGACCATCTGTAAACACTGACTAATGAATGATGATTAAAAGTACTACATTGAGAAATAAAAAACATATGTTGCTATGTAGGGAAAGTCATTATGCTTTAAAGTTATCTAGGTAAATTGTTCTGACTATGAATATATTTAAGGAGTATCAATTATTTCAGTTGAACACAGTTTAGTTGCCATTTTGATAAATGAATTACGTGTTAGATATAATTAAGTAAATTTTCCAATTTAAAAATTATATATGAAGCTTGAATTATTTACATTGATCATTCTATATCAATGCCTTAAATTGTTTTCCTCACATGCATATCATTTTATTTTAAAATATGTACTCACATTTTTTTTATATTCACCCATTTCATATCAAATTTATTGCAAAGTTTTTAATTTTTTTTAAAGATTTTTAAATATGAATATATTTTTACTCAACTTTGTTAATATTCGTCCATTCAATTGTTTAAAATATTCATATGAAGAATTTGTTAAGTCATTCTAAAATGGACATCTAATTTTAAATTTTGTATGAAACTTTGTTTATTTAACATAAATTAATTTATCTATACTAACGATTTAGATATGAAGATTAAAAAAGTTTTTCAATGCTCATTAAAAAGCAANCGTTAATCTAAGCACCTTGACTCATCAAAAATCTCTCAATGTGTAAGCCTAAATATAGTTATGTGTGATCTTGTTTGATTTGTCTTAACACATAGATTATTAATATATAATTTCTATAATTTTTTTAATATACAAATTACAAGATAAAATGGTTTAAAGAAGTGCATTGGTTGGTGTGCCAAAAGGTAAGTGGACAAAGAGAGTGAGACGGAGGGAGTATATACATATATGGTATTCCTATTTCCTAGACCCCAAAATTACTCAGAGAAACAACTCCGAGTACGTATATGGTACAACCGGTTGTACCTAGAGATAGGTACAACCGGGTAGTACTTATTCTGAAATAAAGTAGTACTCATTCTCGCACAAACACATATGCTCACTTGAAATAACATAGTACTCATTCTGATATGATGTACTACTCATTTTGAAATAATGAAGTACTCATTTTTATATATTTGTTCAATATAAGAGTAATGCTAGAGTCACAAACAAACAATTCACAAAATTCATAAACTTGCCTTTTTGACACTTTCCTAAAAATAAGATGCACTCAAATAATAAAAGATATATTACTTTAAAGTCCATAAAAGGTAAGTTTGTGAATTTTGTGAACTATATATTTGTGAATCTAGCATTTTCCTCAATATAATTATAATACGGAGTATTCATTTACGAATAACGTACTGTTCATTCTTAAATATAGTGATGCTCACTCTCAAATATAGTGTTCATTCTTAAGTAAAGTGCAGTTTAATTCTTTTACAATTGAAAAATATATAGTACTCCCTCCGTTCTCAAAAACACTTCTTCTTTCATTTTTTCCACTTCCAACAAAACACTTCTCCTTTCTATTAAAAAACCACTTTTGCCCTTACTTTTTCATACCCTACATATCTCATCATACTTTTTCTCTAATAATCAATCCATCACATCTTACTTTTATCCATCACATCAACTATAATTTTACACTTCCTTATTTTGGCACCAAGTCAAAGTAGAAAGTTTTTTGCAAACGGAGGGAGTAATTAATTACCATCATCTTCATCATTTGCATAGCATCTGGGCAAATCAACCAGTTAGGTTTCTTGCAGTCGCCTACATCATCTACACACATAGTGCTTCCTCGATTTCGCTCATCATCTACACGCATAGTGCTTCCTTGATTTCGCTCAGATCCATAACGGTAAGGCAGCCCAATTCGGGTTGCTTCCTCCGATCAAATTTCTGCTCCCCATCATCATCTTCATCTCCCACGATCTCTAATTACTCTGTACTCCTTAATTTGTTTTCCGATCGGCGCACTCTGTTAATTTTCGCCGGCTGTACGGTTCTTCCCGTACAGCCCGATGTACGATATAACTTGCGAACAACTCCGGGAAACCCCTTCTTCTTGAGGCAGCTGCTCCGAACCCGATTTCATGCTTCCGAGCCAGACACAGAAAAAGTTAGGGTTTTGTTTCGCCTGAAATCGCCATTGAATTCGAAGTGTTGGGTAAGAGGTAGCTCATATGGCGTGCGTATACATTCCAGTGCAGAACTCGGAGGAGGAGGTCCGAGTTGCCCTGGACCAGCTTCCAAGAGACGCCTCTGATATACTTGACATTCTTAAAGCCGAGCAAGCTCCTCTTGATCTCTGGCTAATTATCGCTAGGGAGTACTTCAAACAAGGCAAAGTTGAACAGTTTCGGCAAATATTGGAGGAGGGATCTAGCCCAGAAATTGATGAATATTACGCTGATGTGAGGTATGATAGAATTGCAATTTTAAATGCATTGGGGGCATATTATAGCTATCTCGGGAAGATCGAGACAAAACATAGAGAAAAGGAGGATCATGTTATTATGGCAACTCAGTACTATAATAAAGCATCACGGATTGACATCCACGAGCCTTCTACCTGGGTTGGGAAAGGTCAGCTTTTACTGGCTAAAGGAGATATAGAACAGGCATTTGCTGCCTTCAAGATTGTATTGGATGGAGATCGAGACAATGTTCCTGCCCTCCTTGGTCAGGCATGTGTTCAATTTAGTCGGGGAAAGTTTTCAGATTCATTGGAATTATACAAGAGGGCTCTGCAGGTTTATCCTCAATGTCCGGCTGCTGTTAGACTTGGAATTGGTCTTTGCCGATATAAGTTGGGTCAATTTCTGAAGGCAAGGCAAGCATTTCAGCGTGTCTTGGAGTTAGATCCAGAAAATGTGGAGGCTCTTGTTGCACTTGCTATTCTAGATTTGCAAACGGATGAAGCTGGTGACATTAGAAGTGGAATGGAAAAGATGCAAAGAGCTTTTGAGATATATCCTTATTGTGCAATGTCACTGAATTACTTGGCCAATCATTTTTTCTTCACCGGCCAACATTTTCTTGTCGAGCAACTCACTGAAACTGCACTTTCTGTTACTAATCACGGGCCAACTAAGTCACATTCTTACTACAATTTGGCACGCTCGTATCATAGCAAGGGAGACTACGAAAAAGCTGGAATGTACTATATGGCATCAGTAAAAGAAATCAACAAGCCACAAGAATTTGTATTGCCCTATTATGGGCTTGCCCAAGTTCAACTGAAATTGAGAGATCTTAGGAGTTCACTTTCAAATTTTGAAAAGGTATTGGAGGGTTATCCAGAGAATTGTGAGACACTTAAATCTCTTTCCCACATTTATGTGCAACTTGGGCAACCAGAGAAAGGTTTGGAGTATTTAAGGAAAGCCACCAAAGTTGATCCTCGTGATCCTCAGGCATTTTTGGATCTTGGTGAACTGTTAATTTCAACAGATGCAGGTGCTGCTTTAGATGCCTTTAAAACAGCACGTAATCTATTGAAAAAGGCAAATGAGAAAGTAGCTATTGAGCTACTCAATGACATTGGTGTCCTTCAGTTTGAAAGAGGAGAACTTGAGCTTGCAGGACAAAGTTTTAGGGATGCTCTAGGTGATGGCATATGGTGCAAGTTCCTCGGTGCCAAACTTCAGTCTGATGCTAATGTGAATGATCCTAACTGTGAAGGACTTCAACATTCCAATGGTGAAGTATCATGCGATCTTTTCAAAAGTGTGCAATATCCAATGGATGCCAGTGCATCCATCCATCAATACAAAGACATCCAAATGTTTTGCAAACTTGAGGAACAGGGCATTGCTGTAGAACTTCCCTGGAATAAAGTTTCTGTACTTTTTAACCATGCAAGATTACTAGAACAGTTATATGACACAGAAACAGCTAGTATCTTTTACCGCTTGATCTTGTTTAAGTATCCAGATTATGTAGATGCCTATTTGAGACTTGCTGCAATAGCCACAGCCCGAAACAATGTTCAACTTAGCCTTGAGCTGATCGGTCATGCTCTCAAAGTGGATGATAAGTGCCCAAATGCATTGTTAATGCTTGGGAACCTTGAAATTAAGAATGATGATTGGGTCAAGGCAAAAGAAACATTTCGGGTGGCTAAGGATGTGACCAATGGACCTGAATCTTATGCTACTCTTTGTCTGGGAAACTGGAACTACTTCGCTGCAATTCGCAACAAGAAAAGAGCTCCCAAATTGGAAGCTACACATCTGGAGAAGGCTAAGGAACTCTATACAAAAGTTCTCTCTCAGCAGCACTCTAGTCTATATGCAGCAAATGGCACTGGTGTTATTTCGGCAGAAAAAGGTCAATTTGATATTTCAAAGGATCTTTTCACTCAGGTTCAAGAAGCAGCAAGTGGGAACATTTTTGTCCAAATGCCAGATGTATGGATTAATCTTGCGCATGTTCATTTCGCCCAAGGAAACTTTGCACTTGCAGTGAAAATGTATCAGAATTGCTTGAGGAAATTTTATTACAATACCGACAGTCAGGTGCTTCTCTATTTAGCAAGAACACATTATGAAGCTGAGCAGTGGCAGGACTGCAAAAAGTCTCTGTTAAGAGCCATTCACTTGTCACCTTCAAATTATACTTTAAGATTTGATGCGGGTGTAGCATTGCAAAAGTTCTCAGCTTCAACCTTACAGAAGACAAAGAGGACCGTTGAAGAGGTGAGGTCATCTGTTGAAGAGCTTAATAATGCTGTTCGGTTATTCAGCATGTTATCTACTGCTTCAAATCTTCACCTTCATGGGTTTGATGAGAAAAAGATTGAAACTCATGTTGACTATTGCAAGCTCTTGCTTGAGGCGGCAAAGGTCCATTGTGAGGCAGCAGAGCTAGAAGATCAACAGATTCGAGCGATGCGAGAACTTGCACGTCAGGTTGTCGTGACTGAGGAAAATGAAAGAAAAGCCGAGGAACAGAAAAAATACCAAATGGAGAGACGGAAACAGGAGGACGAACTTAAGCAAGTGATGCAACAAGAACACCTATTGCGCAAAAAGGAACAATGGAAAAGTAGCACTCCTGGCTCTAAGAGAAAGGACAGGTCCCACGCAGGAGATGAAGAGGGGGGCAATGGTGACCGCAGGAGGAGAAAAGGTGGGAAGCGCAGAAAGAGGGACAATAAATCTCGCTATGATTCTGAGGATGCATTTATGGATGATGATCAAGAGGATATGTATGGAGATGCCAATATGAATTACAAAGATCACGAAAACGTTGAAGCAGAAGAGAACAATCCACAGGATCTGCTTGCAGCAGCTGGGCTTGAAGATTCTGATGCTGAGGATTATGATGCATCTCAACCTCCATCAAATGTGAAGAGGAAGGGACATAAGTGGTCTGAATCAGAGGAGGAAGATGAACCGTTGCAGAAGCAGGATATTGACAGAGGTGATGACGATGGCGGCGAAAGGCTGAATGAAGATGTCGATGCTAATGATGAGTGAGGCACCAAATAAATGCCTAAAGGATGTGAAGCTTGTTTCCCCGATTATTGAGGCAATCAAGGCCACTGCAATGTCATGTAACCTTCCAAGAATCTTGTAGGGGAGTAAAAGACCATTTGTTTGGAGAATCCAATGAAAGAAAAAAAGGTACCAACTATTAGTATTCAGTTTTGGTCATATTGCTTGCTCAAATGTGGGGAAGAGAGGGAGGGTGGTGGCTTGATTACACAAGATGTTGTTGAGGGTTTGCTCGAACTCGGTCTAAGAGTGACCGACCCGTGATGTCGCTTTTGACACTTACATAGACTAAACCTGGTGTGTGGGTGGGGAGGGTGGGAATTTGTATGAATGTTAAGCAATGACATTAAAGTGAAGAACCATGCTCGGGAACCCCACATTTGATATAGTATGATTTTTTTTGAACACTAATAACTCTATGACAAGGTAGTATATACCCGTACATTTCCAACTTTATATATATATATATTTATATATATATATATATATATTGGTTCTGGTGAGAATGCGATCTTATGAAAGAAATAAGAATGAATCTGGTGCTTTAGATTGTGAGATCTAAGGGTCAGGATTGCATCAAAATTAGATGCACCAAGATGGTTTGAAAATGCATCACGTCGAAATGCACCATAATCCTTTGAAAATGCACTATCTCAAAATCTGAGTGCAGGATGCAATCTGAGCCACACAATGCATCAAGGTGCATTCTCACCTGAACCAACCCCTATATATATATATATATATATATATATATATATATATAAAATTTTACCAAGGTGCATTCTCACCTGAACCAACTCCTATATATATATATATATATATATATATATATATATATATATATATATATATATATATATATATATATATATATATATATATATAATTTTAAAATATGCATGAACCACTTGTTCGACCACTTGAACCACCGGTCCGATCAGTGAACTAGTATCTTGACCGGTCCGGTCCCTAGTCCGGTTCTAAAAACTATGATGATAACAACAAGTCAAAATGGTGGAGTACGTTCTTCGACGTTTATATGTGACAAAAAATAGCTTTAGAACTAAAGGGAAGATGAACACAAGGTTAGTGTTGCCAAAATCAAGATGCTTTGATGAATGAGCGTGCAGCCATACGTACCCTTATGGATAGTATATGAAATGAGGAGATGAGACCTAAAGTTTGAGTGACATGTATTGTAGAAAAGATGATGAAAACTCGTCTTAAGTAGTTTGTACATGTAGAGAGAAGACCAATAGAGCATTCGATGAGAATGGTTGATTGAATGGTAAATAGACATGCGGGTAGAGGAAACAATAGACTACCTAAAAAGACTTGGCACGAAGTGGTCAAGGGGGTGCTTCACGTGAATGATCTCGCTGCAGATATGGTACATGATAGTGTGCAATAGTATCATTTGATCCATGTAGCCGACCATACCTAATGGGATAAGGCACAATTATTTTATTTAGAATGTTGAAACACTTTATTATTCTATCAAACTCAATTTAAGTTGCATGTTTACCAATTATGTAATCAATTTTTAAGCATGTCTTTTACCCATTTACGCTACCCATTTGAAAAAAATAATATATTATTGTCACTTTTTGCTTTGTAAACCTTTTGATGTTGTCTTTAAATATTCCCCTTCGTCCTAAAACCATCTTTACGAGGTTTGACCGACTTTATTTTCAATATAATTTATTTGATTGTAAGTGTAAAATTAAAAAATAAAATTTATATATTTAAAACTACATCAAAAATTCTACAAACAATAGGTGACAAGGCTATATAATTATGTCAAATGACTAAAGAAAATAGGTAAAGAAAGTGATTTAAGTTTGACCGTGTGAATAGTAACTAGGAAGATAGTTTTAAGATGGATTAAATTCCATTCTAATATTTAAGTTAATTGAATTGAGAATAACTCCTGACAAAATTCATATACAACAATAAGCGATCTAAGTCAAAATAGGGGATCATTTTTTCCTAGGTTTGTTCTATGATAATGAAATACTCGGCATTAATTAATGAAAACTTATTTTTCTACATATCTTAATCTCCTTTTGGGATAACTCTCATAAGAGTACATCAACAAATTGAATCATTGAACAACCGAATAATTGTGTCCTTCATTATATCTCAAAAGCTCTATCCTTTAACCCTTGCTACTTACAAAATACTCCAAATATAATAGGATAGATAAATTTTTTAAGAAAGCATTCTCATTGATCATGCGTTTGGAAGGTTTATCCGTCCCATTTACCAACTCTGATCTAAACTACGTGTGGCTAGCTTGATCCCCTTCATTAGGGTATGTAGGCAACACAGAAAGTTTTATTTTTTAAAGTGCAGTAAACAATGACGACGAAGTTGAACCTCACAAGAGTAAGGTTTGGGAAGAGTGGGAAGAGTGTGTGTATGCACACATTGCCTTTACTCGAAAGTATAGATGTTTCCAAGAGCAGAATCTAGGAAAGGTGCGTCTCACAAGAATAAAATTATTTTTTTAATGCAAAGGTGTGTCTCACAAGAATAAAATTGTTTTTTAAATGTTACACAAAAATTATACGTAGTATGTATAGTTATATAAAGTGAAACACCATATAAGGGAGACACCCTTTACTTATTTATTAATAGCAACGGAGAATCTGGGAGATCATTGAAATATTAAAAAAATCTGCATTTTAATTTCCATGGTTGGGGCAAACTACTCCATGGGAATTAATGAATGATTTGCATGCATGGTGCCAGAAGAACGTTGAGAAGGATGGATGATCAATCTGTAGCTTAACGTGTAACAAGAAATGGTTTAAACGTGAGCAGTATGCCAGTAGCCTCAATCACATTCAGAACAAAGAATGTCATTTGATTGCCTGCAATAATCAATAAATGTGATTATTAAGCTATTCATTTACCTTGTGAACTTCTCTGTATGTATGCATGTATGTACATAGGTGAGCGACAAAATTTCATTTACTATTCTGAAATCACAAATGGACCACGAGTATTTGTATACCTGGAAGGAAGGAAGCTTCTTGGCGCTTTTCGGACCAAGAAAATCTACAGATAATACAAAAAAAACAGATTATCAACTATACAAATGTGTTGAATTATCAACTTTCTTTTGGGGGCTGGGAGGGGGAGACTCACAGTGTTCCTCCTCCTGCAGGACCTAAAGCTTTGAAAATTGACATTGCAGTCATCGCAATGCCATTTGCGGTTCCTCTTTGATCTTGGTCCTACAGTCATGGCAACAAATTAAAGAAACCAGGTGATCGACAAAGAAATGGCCCCTTAGCTTTGGTGTTGTTTTCTATAAATAGCCCTCAATTCTAAGAAATTGCCTTCGTAGTCATATATGGAAAATAATATTTGGGTCAAAGGACTTATTATAGAATACTCGGTATTTCTCAAATGTACTATTTATGGAAAATACCATATTATAAGGGACTATTCATAGAATTTATTCTAAAAGGATTGAATGAATTATAATTTTTTTTAATGCTATTTACTCTATTATCTGTTTATACTTTTCTCAACCTAATAATAATAATAATAATAATAATACGGAGTAATAATAAGAATAAAAATATATATCATGAGTGAAATATTACCACTGCATTGTTCTGCAGTATGAAACATCCTGTTACGATTGAAACCTGAACATACAAAACAATAAGTTAGAAGTGGTTAATAAAATGCCCAAATTAAATTATATATCCTCTAATCAATTTCATCCTGTTTTTCTGTGCATAAAATTATGTATCGTAATTTTGTGTTGGTACAAATTTATACACGTATGAGCAGTGAGTTAAAAGTTAATCATGTCTCGTTGAGAAGCATCATCTAAGCAAACGAGATTATCTTAACAGTTCGAATAATGACACCAAGATCATGAAATCCACTTACAGACAGAACGTTCTTCATGATAGAGGCGCAGTTTAACACCAGGGAGAGGGTGATGCCCGACAACAATGCAATGTACGGGTAGCTTGTTAGCAGGGGTATTGACAAAATCTGTATGAGCGAAACCATCAAACGCAAATTCAAGTTCAATAAAATAAAAATAAATTATGTTCGCAAACCAAGTCTGATGGCATTTGACATCAGTTTAAACATTATACTTCTTCATTAATTACTTACTCCTGCAATTCTTGTTGTCATTGTCGGGCCAAAATATCTCTCAACCAAGGGATACACGAAGAGTTGAAAGACTAGAAGACCGAACCCTGTGAAATGTATTAAGATTTGGCTTCACATCACTGATGAAGGAAGAGAACAAATATATATACTTTTTAAACCGCAAAATGAAATTTTGGAATGATGAGAAGTGGAAGTTGTACAAAATATATAAATGTATTAGTAGACAATTAGACTATGCACCAGAGAAGGCAAGAACCACTCCAACATCATCTGAAGAATAACTCAATCCTCCAAGTCTTCGTGGACTCTCAGCCCATAACGAGAATATCTATTAAAAACAATGAGTCATGTAAACTTTACTATGTCACTCCATATATTATGAATTGTTTATCCATTGAAATAATTTACTCATAGTATAACAAATGCATATATATATATATATACCTCGGTATAAGCCATATCATGAAGAGAGAAAACACAATATACTAAGATGGATGACATTAATGGCCAGTTTCTGAGTATGCTCTTCTTGGAAGCCGGTTTTTCCTTATCCTTGTCTACTTGAGATGCAGCCTCTAAAGCCTTGTATGAATCGCAAGATGAAAGACTCGGTGAACCATGCTTGTGCATTGTTTCCTACATGCATGGGAGTTGAGTCAAAACATAGGGAAAAAAAGCAGGCACTTCCTCATATTGAAACTAACTGTACTGTAAAAAAAAAGGGTCTACCGGCAACCAAAATGTGAATATGGTCACAATCAATGCAAAAAGAGAAATGGACAAGCAAGGCAAAAGGTAGGGAAATCTGCACAAGACATTATATGTTGTACTCAATGAGCATTCAGAAATACGTGAGCAAAACTAAGGAGAATGTAAGGCGATAAAAGATGAGGAATGATTACCTTCCAAATAGAGAGTGTTCTGAGAATAGTAAAGGATACTTCTCTGCAGGCTTAGTTCAAAAGTAAACCAATCACCACAAAAATAAAATTTATTACAAATTTACAATTCACACCCCCCTCCAGATATTAATTATGTTATAGGTAAATACCTGTGCAAGAAAACCTCCCAGAGCTGGACCAATGATTAACCCTATACCCCAAGCTGTGCTTACCTTAAACAGAACAAAACACAGAAAAAAAAAAGTAAGAGCTTCAATAT